AAAGACTGGTGGACGTTTGAGCCGTGGGGTGGCAGGCTCAGCTCCACCAAACGGATCAGTACCGGCCCCCGTCTGCGTTCCCTTAATCACTGGAAACACATTCGGACTTTGAGGTCCTGTTTAAATTATACCTGCCACTTCCTCTCCTGGACGGGGCCCAAACTCTGTCGTATATTCTCCTCTTTCTCCTGTCATTTATTAATGTTGTAAATTGTTCCCGGGTCTTTTTTAATGGATGAGAATCTAACCTGCTGGTTCTTGGCCACAGAGATCACTGGATTGCGTGGGAGGGAAGGATAGAAGTGAATTGGGTGGGGGGGGGGGAGAGGGAGGCTTAAAAACAGGACAGAATGAGGGAGGGCAAGCACGGGATGAATTGTGGGCTTTTCTTTCACGTGGTGTCACCCACAGCGTCGCTGTGAGACAGAACGGCGTGTGAGTTACGATCAGAAAGGATGAATAATCTCCAAGCTGTTCTCCATGCTCATTTTTTTTTCCCACAAAAACACCCCCTTCTTCACCCTGAGCCACACATCCTGCTAACTCACTTTAAGGCAATTCTGTTTCACCGTTTTAACTTCATTTCTGCTGCCTTTGAAAGTCCAAAAGGACTGCAATCTTCTTTAAGAACTTGTTTATCAGTAAGGGTCTATTCCCACTTGAGCACTTGATGCTGAATGGGAATTGAACAAACAACCACCCGGGTTACACACAGACACACACAAAACCTTTGCCCCTGTGCTACCTGAAGCTTAGGCCTCATCTTTGGTATAGAAAAGCAGTTGATTAGAGGTGTGAAATGCCAGCTATGGTTCTTTAAACATTATAAACATTCATCACACGTCACGACACCATACTGATGTTTTGCCATGGCCATGCCTTTCAGCAGTTGTCATGATTGCACTCACTGCTCCGCCATCATTTAAATTTGCAGGCCATGCCGCCTTCCAGGTGTCTTTCCCACCCCCAAGACGCTGGCATATCCGCCTCTGGGATCCGATGAGAGATGATCTAATGGCTCTGACGGATGAGCCGATGGGGGCATCAGCCAATAGACAAATTTGATTTAGCGGCACGCAGGCCGGTGGGAGGGGAGGGGCGGGGCCGCGTCTCCACCTCGCCTCGGCGGACGAATGTATCAGTCTAAATCAATTATCAATCGATACGGCTTTTCAATTTGCATGAATCAGGAAGCTTGCAGTCGTCTATCTCTCCCTCTCTTCTCTTCTCTCTCTCTGTCTCTCTCCTGGCCTCTCAATTGCTCGTCCACATGTAGGAAGTGCCTTTATTTACTTTGTGCCCTGTCCTGTCACCCCTCCTCCCTGATCCTCGCCATTTCTCTCTCCTGCCCCCGAGGTGACTTTGAGCTTATATCAGTGTGGGTGCCCGTTCTAACTCCCTAACACCCTGACAGAGCTTGCCGGGCAGGTGCCAGTTTGAATAACACCCCCCGGCTGTACCTCCTACATTATCTATTTCGAGACCCAGTCTCTTTCTGGAGAACATGTCCCCGTACCTGTAGGTTATAACAAGATGGGAAATCCAGACACATTCATCATGCAATCAGACCTAGAACCTCAATTAAAACCTACAAGGGTGTCAATAAAATAGAATCAGAATAATTTATTTATGACTAGGAGGAGGAGGCAAGGAGCACACATTGATTACAGCATGTCGCCGCACCCACCACCCAATGAAGCACCACCCAATGAAGCACCTCAGAACCTGAGTGCAGCCGTGCGGTGGGTGATACCTCAGCACCACACTAGTCCAAATGGAGCAGTGTGAGTTTTTTTCCGGTGGCTGGAGTGCCAGTCCTGCCACCAACCCCCAAATTTTCCCTCTAAGTTGTCAGGACTCCTCAGCCAATCAGTCCTCTGATTAGGGAGTTGCAGCAAAAACCCTCCACACACAACGGAACTTTCTGGATAAGGCTGCCTACCCCTTGTCTAAACAAAGCACATGGCCTGATCTTTGTATGCCGATTACATCGTAGCCTGAAGTTAATATCTCAAACAGGTCTCCACCTGCGTGTAATTATTCACTGTGATTGGGTCGCGACCCCAAAAGCAGCCGACTGACTGAAGGCACCACCATGCCCACACTGACCTGAGATCAGCTATAGGCATCCCCATCCCTCCCAGCCAAACAGGCATGACCTAACAGTTAATTAGCTAAAGTGATTTTTCCCAGTCTAAGACTGACGACCGTCACTCATGGTCTAATAAATCGAAAGACCGGGATAGCTATGGCAGAAGTCGGGTGGGACCACGGACAGCAGGACTCAGGACCTGGTCTGTTACATCCCGTCGGACTGCCCTGGGAATGATTTCGGACCACTGGTACCATTTGAAATGTATCTCTGCCAATTAATATCCAATGACTGACACTCAGATAAAATGCACATTGGGGGCATCGCTAATAACTCCACCCCCCCCATCACCCCCCCCCCCCCCCCCCCCTCGTCACCCCTCCCGTATGTCATGCACACGTTTGCTCGCTTAAAACCAGAGGTGGGTATAAATTTCCTTCAGCTTTGACTCCTAAGACAAATAGCCAGTAAAAATGCCAGGCTTGTTCATACACACGGTGTGGCACGATTAAATCAATTTCCCCTGAGTAGCCATAAACATGCCCCCCTGTAAAACCTGGAGGCCCTGGGCCCATTATCTGCACCCCCCCTCCTTTGTTCACCCCAGTGTCCCAGGGCAGAGGTCAAAAACTAAGCCCTAATCTATCTCATTAGCCTGTCCAATTAATCCTGGCTGCTTAAAAAAATACTACGTCATGTTTAAGCTGGCAACGAGCCTTTTCGATCGTTGGACGAGCGCCGTTAATCATGGGTCTTCGGGGCATCTCTGTGACAAAGGGCCAGTGCTGCTTGAAGCCCTGCAGGGTGCCGGGCCTCCAGAGCTGGCCGCTCAGTACTACTAGCCCCAGGCTTCACTGCGGGCCTGTGGAGCACCTGCTGACATGTGCTTCTGTCGAGTAATATCAATGGGGAAGATCTCGACCTCAGAGGTGTGGACGTCTGGATGTTGTTTGTGACTGGTGGTACGTGACTAAGTGCTGGGGGCAGGCCAGGTAAGCGGAAGCTGACTGGGTAGGAAGGCGAAGTCCAGAACAAGGCCTACAAGCTCTAAGAATACATTGGCCAGGGTCATTACCAGTCATAATCTGAACATTTCATGTGTTGATGAGGAAAGATGAGACACCCCAATGGGTACCCCAGCGGGGAGGTGTGTGGCTCAGTGGGTTAAGCCTCTGTGTCTCTTATCAGAAGGTTACTGGTTTGAATCCCGTGCCCAGCAGAGCAGCCACATCTCTGTTCAGCCCTTACTCCTTGCACCCCCCCCCAATGCTCCAGGCATGCCAGGTGGATGGTTAACCCTGCAAATCCCAAGCATCTTTATCATATATACATGCCTTTAAAAAGGAGAGCATGATGGGATATGTATCATTTTTATGAATTCACTGCCAAGGGTGTATTGGTGACATGCAAAAAGTCCACCAACGTTATAGCCAACAGCGAACTGTGTCTCTTCATGTCTGAGCCAGGTGATCCACGCTCTGTTGGTGTCCTGTGGCCACGGGGGGGGGGGTATCCATGAATATACTGTATAAACATTTTGCTCACAGCGGTCTGGTTGGAGTCTATTACTCCAAGACATTTTCCCTGGCAGAGGTGAGACCAGCAAGCAGCTTCAGATTCTAGCAGCATCCTGTCTGTAGGTGTGAGGATGGGAATACCGCAGTAATTGACCACAGTGTGCGTGAACCTTCGGTAACCTCTGCGTTAATACCATGTTAATCCTCAAGAGGGCAGGGTGCATGGTCCTGTGCTAATTAATATTCAAAGACTCATTAAGAAACGAGTCCACGAGTGATAAAAACAGGAACAATTATGGTTAATGATTTTGCGGCCAGGCAGGAGGACTCCCAGGTTCCCCGTTTGGGGCTCAGCGATACAGGGACCAAAGCCCAGGATGGCTATAAAGACTATTGCGGGGACCGGGACCGGCTCTTAATTGCCATTTTTAAATGTTCAGCATTTCAGCCCCCCCTGGAGATGCCGCCCCCATGTCTCGGAGGCAACACGCCCATGTGCCTGTGATTTTCAGGCCCCCCCAGCAGGGGACCTCCTGGGTTGGACCCACCGTCCACCCGCTCGGCATGGAGAGATGCTGTGGGGGGAGGGGGTGCAGCGCACAGCCAGGAGTGCTGACGGCAGCCTCCCTGTGACCCCCCCCCCTCCCCCGTGCGCGGGCTCCTAGGGGCCACGCCCGATGGGGCCGCAAACACAATTTCTCTAATGTCATTTGAGAGCACGAGGGAGCCGGCTGTCACCGGTGTCGCACCGGTTCTCGGGAAATCTGTCCCGACAGCTGACGGATTCTTACACTCGTGTGAGCGGACAGCTGCCCCCTCCCTTCCAAATGGCCACGTCCCGAAATTAATACATTATTAACTTTCGCAGAGGGTAATTTAATCGAGCCGCCGGACGTCCTGGGTGCCGGCACTTATCCTGGTGCCGATTGGCTGCTGATGACGGGAACGGGCGAGGGTGATACCCCTCCCCCCACCCGCCATCCGTCATTACACGGGTGTCCTGCTACACGTAACCTGTTACGGGCTTTCCCGCATCACAGAGAACCACGTGTGGTCCATCGCTTGGCCCATTTAGCATAAGAACACTGCTTCAGATGAGGAGAAATATCTAGGATATTCAGCAGGATTAACAAAAGGCTCTCAGACACTCAGGCTCTCACGCGATGATCATGCATAGGATTATGGGTAACAGGACTGATGCTAACAGTAAAGTCCCCAGGCCTCTTTTCTTCTGATTACGATGTACATATTAAATAATATTAATAACGCCATCTTTAGTCCATCTATCTTGCATGACTCTTGCTCAGGACACTTGCAAGGCAGGGCAACACCTGAGATGTTACAGACAATTTAGTGAGTCTATCTCCTAAGTGCTTGTTTTTGCACTACAGGAAAAAACCAGAACATCCAGTAAGACCCACGTGACCATGTGGGGAGCAGGCAAAAGTCACACATGTGGAACTAGGATGGGAATCGAATCCATAACCCTGGAGGTGAATTATTTCATTATGCATTCATCCATCCATCCATCCGTCTTCCAAATGGCTGCAGTCATTGTTGTTTATTTAATTATGCGTTATTAAATTCCACTATGTTTCTACAGTTGCACATTTAAATGTAAATATTTAAAATGTCTCTTACTTCATTCTCCTCTATCTGTAGCCGAATTAAAAAAAAAACAGATGAATTCACCAGTAAACATGGCATGAACCAGCTAGTATATCTCTGGACCCTTATGCTCCTTCAGAAATGCTCTCCTGGAAGAAGATCATACTGGAAGCCTTCCCACCAGCCTGCTCCCCCCCCCACGTGAGAATCAGATGGGCACCTGGGAGAGAGTGGGCGGCCGAGGGGGCGGGGCTCAGAACATGCCTTGTGTCCGCATCCCGGAGTGGAAAAGAAGCAGGTTAAACTTTAACCAGCCCTGCCTGTTTTTGATTGACCCCCCCCCGCCCCCCCAACCTCCCGGCCCCCTTTCAGAGACAGGGGTGATGGATAGCACTAGGCCATGTGGACTGAGGCCTCCTTGTTAATCTGACCCCTTGAGTCAGAGTGGACAACGCAACTGCACCCTGGAAAAGCCCCCCCCCCCCCCATCCAAAAATAGCACAGAACCATCACCAACGCGGCGGCCCACGCACTCGGATACTCGCCTGCAACCCCCTGCCCCCGTTTCGGGAAGTCATTTGCTGAGATTTGTTCTGAGGCGCGGAGGGTTGTTACAATGGGAATAATCATAAGCAGACTGTGGGACTGAGACCCCGAATTTTGACACGGATTAAAAAGTCACGTCACTTTGTGTCCGTAGGAAACACGAGAGCATCCAGGTCATTCCAAATGCCGTCGATCAAACAATCCACCAGAAAACTTCACAGAAAATATCAAAAACATTATTCAGGTATTTCCTGTAACTCAGTTTTGAAAAGGCACTTTTTACAAGCAAAACCTGAAGTCTGTGTTTGTTTCCTAAATCATAAATGTAAATAAATGATTCATTCCGAGCAAAATTCCCGCTTGTTTCTGGCTAATACTCCATCTCACTTCCCCGCAGCCTGGCGCCCCTTCGTATCTTACTAGGTAAAAAGGGACACGGCATCGAATCAAAGCTTAACAGTGCGTCCGTGAGGAGGGGTCTGCCAGCACGGTCCAGTACAAGGGAGGGGGTCCTGACGGGGGGGTGCGGCACCTCCAAAAAGTCTCCCCGCCAGGGTTGAGCCCGCGAAGACTCATCCATCACGCGGACGCCAGCACGCCCTGCACCACTGTTGACACGGGGTTAACAACTTGACACTGACTGCGGCGGGGGGGTCCGCAACCAACATCACCCACTTCTGTTCCAGCATGTGCAAATGAGACGGGTAGAGTACTCCCCCTCCCCTTACCAGTACCAAAAGCTTGGGGGGGTTACAGCGATGGTTCCTGTGAAAGGGCCAAGCGGCGTTGAGGCAGGGCTGGTGTCTTACGATCCCGCGTTCAGGGCTGGGGCAGTAACAAGGGTGGGTTTCAGACCCTGGTGGGGAGGGGGGGGGGGGGGGGGGGGGGGGGGGGGGGGGTGCTGGCCAGTCTGACGTCGGGGGTAGAGAGGTGGGGGCAATGGCGGAGTATTTCAATCTAAAAGGTTCTGGGGCAATTCATTACCAGGAAATATTACAGCGTTTATTCGTTATGCCCCGAGGGACATTATTCAAGACAGTTATTATATCAAAAGAAATATTGTGTGTTGGGAGAACTAAACTATACAGAGCGCAAGAGCTGCATCTCTCCGGCAGCCGCTGTCCATGTAAGGAATTTTAATTACAGAGAGTTTTTTGACTCCTCAGGACGAGGCAGTGGGTAAAAATGGGTACATGGGGCACCGTGGGTTTACGAGGTGTAGGAGGAAGGACCCCCGATAGGCGTCCAGTTACGGCGCCCACGCTGAAACGACGGCCAGGAGGACCGTCAATGTGCCCGCCACCTGCAGAAAGTTAGTCTCCAGCGTTAACCATCACACGCAGTCTTCATATGAAGAGAATGAGCTTTGAGGACCACACCTGTTGCACGATGACCCTCTAGGGCCCCAGGAAATGCTTACAACCTACGGGTTTGAATTTGGCGTAAATAAAATCCATCACATAACGTACATGAATCACTTACAAAAAAATAATTAAATCGCTGCCCTCTCGAACATTAAATATTCATACCTTTATTAGGGAGGTCGCACTCTGTCGTTAAACATGCATGCTCTTATATATTATCAGAATAACGTTAAAGGCCAGTATTTCAGAACCACTCAATTTTATGGTTTCAGCGGCAGACATTAATGTATATGTAATAGTGTCAGATTAATAATTATTCCTGGCCCCCCTCCCCAATTAGCCTGATGTGTTAAGTTAAGGGAGAAATGTTCTGATGGCTTTGACAACTTAAGTAGGGGGTGGGTGGGTCAGTGTGGGGGGGGCGGCATTGTTTTTTAAATCAGGCATCGCCGGCCAGTACGTCGGGGCCCTGATTCAGTACCTGGCAGTTAATAATTGAGCCGTGAGCGGCTGGAAACGCGTCGCTCGAACTGGGCATGACTGACAGATCAGCTAAGTGCAGCTCTTTTCAAAGAATGGGGAAAAGAGGAAACCGGTGATTTGATTTTTTTTTTTTTTAAGGGGGATGTCGAGGGCGGGGGGCGGGCAAGGACACAAAATAGAGATGTGAGAAGACTAGTTACTTATTGCACCATATGCTTCCAAAGCTCTTCCTGAACAAAGGTTCTGGCATTGTCGGACGTGAGTGATTTATATCCAAGGNCCCTGAAACCAGCAAGGGGAGGAGCAATATCACCAGAACCACACTCTGAAAATCATTGACAAACGTCACTGTAAGTCTGGGAGTTGGACCCTGCAGGAGGATTGGCCAGTGGGGGGGGGGGACGGGGGTGTTGAAGGGCCAGGTAAGAAAAAAGGGCAGAGAGAAGGACAAAAGAGGGAAGTTGAAGAAACAGCATGAGAAGGGATAAAAGAGGAGAAGGAGCGGAGGTCGACCTCTGGCGGTGCGGCGCGGACCGCGGCGGGGGTGGAGAACACGTGTGTTCAATGACAAAGGGAACTCTGGGAGAGGACGCGTGATTGGCCGGGGATGCCAGGCACACGCTGAAAGAGCCCTGCGCTGTGACAATCAGTAACAACACCTCGTTATGGGCCGAGGCGAGGGGAGAAGGGCCCTGCAATGGACGGACACCCGCCCCGCCCCCCAGGACCAGACACATTACTCTAAACCAACACCATCTGCTCCCGAGGAACGCGGAGGCACGCTTGGCTGACCTGTCCGAGAGTCGGACTCGGGCCGCTTCACCGAAACGCCGCCAGCTTGGCACCGGGCCGCCGTCCGCTCCGACCAGCTGGGCAGCGTCCGGGAGCCGTGCCAGAGTGCCACGCTGGCAGGAGGAAGTACCGGGGGGGCAGCCGGGGCGGGGCGCGTCCCGCCGAGACGGCCCGTCGTGCTCCGGAATGACAAAAGCGACATAGGCATCCAATTGGGGGGGGGAGGAGATCGTGAGGTCCTTAATGCGATCCTCAATGAGCGGGGGAGCCCGACAATTCGAACCCTGACGCCCAAGGCGCCCATATATTGGGGCCTGCACTTGGGGAGCAGCGACAGACCCCTCAGGCTGCCCCGAGGTTGCGAGGCATCCCCGGATTCAGGCTGAACTAATCGCTCTCTGAATTACAGATCTATTCCGCCAGGCCCGTTTTTAATTGCACTTACGGCACAGCGGTGGGGCATCAATCTTGATGAGTGAATCTGCATCCCCATTCTCGCCGGCCAATCTATCACCATCGCTGTCCCCCCCTTGCCCCTCCCCCGCCCCCCCCAACACACCGCAGGCTCCCATTCATCGTCCCGCTCCTTCATTACGGGACTGGCCCGTCCGGCATCTTCGGGAGGGACTTGGATGGGCTCCTCAACGCGCGGATAACGCAGGATCTTGAGGAAGCGTGAAGACGCTATGAAACGCTGTAAACATCTTTCCGGAAGCTCCTGGCTTCTTCCATATACTCACTTATACATTATATGAATGAGATTCAAGATTGAAGCTTTTCTATTTGCCTTCCGTATATCAGTACACAGGATTCCTCACGCCAGCCAGTCAGTAACACGTGACAGGGATTGACCGTGTACAGGAAGGCGGGTGTATAACTGGGAACTACAGCGGTAGGTATTTATGGAAGAAACATGAAATAAAGAGAAGAAATGGCTGAAATACAAAATATGACTAAACCAAGTATAAATATATGAAATAAATACACAATAAATAAATGGCTGAAATAGGAAGTATATCAGAGTAAAGTGCAATGCACAGTATCCCTCTGCCCAGTAAAGTGTACTGTTTATCAGGTTGGAGTATGTTCACTCTGTACTGAGTTGTCAGTTTGCAGGGGGGTAAAACCAGTTCTATACTGGACATCAGAACACCTACTGAGGAACCAGCTGTACTTTAAAGAGGCTAGTGTCAGCCCTGATGTGAATAATCATTTAAATATTTAGGCGTCCGCTTCCCTGGTTCTGGTGGTCCATCCAGTCCGTCGCGTTGGGTTGAGGCCGCATCTGTCATCCAGCCATTTCATGTGTCGAGGGCCATCAACTTTTAATGAGTGACCCCAGAAAACTGGGGCGTGATTTGGAATTTTGGTATGAAGGGGAGGGGGGGGGGGGACGCCAACATGACTGACAGCATCAGTCCCCTTAGGGGTGTTTTGGGGGGGGGGGGGGGGGGGGGGGGATTTAGGGAGAAATGTGGATTGAGGAAAGAAAAAAAATTGACAGACTAAGTAACGAGACTGGAAAGGTGGGAAGAGGCAGAGGGGAGATGGTTGGGCTTGTGGCTTGTTTGGTCAGCACCCGGTGCCTTTGATCGGAAGGTTATCGGTTAAATCCCAGGATCGGAGGAGTGATTTCAGTGTTGGAACTCAGTAGGTTACCTCACTGTGTCTGTGATCGGAAGGTTGTCGGTTAAATCCCAGGGTCAGAGGAGTGATTTCAGTGTTGGGACTCAGTAGGTTACCTCACTGTGTCTGCGATCGGAAGGTTGTCGGTTAAATCCCAAGGTCAGAGGAGTGATTTCAGTGTTGGGGCTCAGTAGATTACCTCACTGTGTCTATGATCAGACGGTTGTGTTTTCAAATCCCAGAGCTGGCAGAGTTATGGGCCCCGGGCCCTTCAACAAAGCGCTTAATTCCCAAATGCAGCAGGGACCCTGTGTCTCAATTGTACGTCACTATGGATAAAAGCACCTGCTGAATTAATAAATGTATTTAATGCAGATAAAAAAGTGGGGGAAAGTTTTAAGGGGGTGAGTGATAGGTAAAGCGGACAGCAATGAGCTGCTGTGGGGGATGAGGATCAGGAGCCGGAAAATAAGAT